CAGGCTGCCCAGAGAGGTTGTGGAGTCTCCTTCTCTGGAGATCTTCCAAACCTGCTTGGACGCAGTCCTGTGCCACATGCTCTAGGTGACCCTGCGTGTGCAGGGGGTTGGACTAGGTGACCTCGAGAGGTCCCTTCCAACCTTGAGCATTCTGTGATTCTGTGATTCAGGAGCTGTGCACAAGGCCTCCAGTGCCAACCGCCCGCTGCAAGGGCCTCCCAGATTGCTCCATGGCGCTCGCCCTCAGGCTGCCGTGTTCTCCTTACGGTTAAGGGGAAGCCCGTGCCCTCCGCAATGACGCCGGGGATCTATCGACATCAGCAGCGACCGAGGCACGGCGGCAGCGCATCACGCGAGCACTATCACAAGATACAGCAGTGCCACCGCTCGTGACCGCTCCAGTGGCAAGACCCTGCCTGGCAACAGTGCCAGCCAAGTTTAGAAACAGAGTCGAGCACAAATTTCTGCAAAGGAAGTACCTATTTTTTTTTTCTTTTTCCAAAAAACAACTGCTAAAACTGCCCTCTGCATTCTGGGCAGTTCAGATTAGGGCAAGAGCAGCCTCTGTTCCAAGTCATGCCCGCCTTGAAATATCGATTGCTGCAAAATTGCAAGCCTAGGGGAAAATTGAAATTCATCCATTTTATGACAAACGGTAAGTGGGATTCTCTGTGGCAGTTACGTTGCTTTCCCTAGTGAGAGTTTAGAAGCAACTGGAATAAGATCTAGTGAGCTAAAACTCTGTAAAATACAGGCGTATATATACAAAAAAACAAGTATATATGCATAAATATATATATATAGATATAAAATGCATGTATGCGTATACACAGGCAGTCCCTGTATATATACACATATACATCTATACAGATGTAGGTGTAAACACCTCTTTTAGGAAAAAGATTTAAAAAAGAAAAAGAGAGAACAGAGAGGGTCAATCCTTAGAAAGACCTAAGTGATTTAAAGAAAAAGAGCAGATTCAAATTTTTATGACTCTAGAGCAACCTCTAAAAATGAAATAGGGGCCGCCTATGCTTGCTGGTATGTTACTCCAACACTACCCCTGCATATGTTGCAGCCCTCCAAAGCCCTGTTCTCCCAGAGGAGCCAAAAAGCAGAGAGGGTTGCAAAGGTGCACGAGTGGCCACTAACCCGTGGGATCGAGAAATCCTGAGCTGCTGTGCGGGAGAGGCGGCGTTCCGACCGTCGTGGCTTTCTTGTCGTCCCCCTCTGCTCCGTCCTTGCCCGGCTCGGACGGCTGCGACGTGGTTGCGCTCGACCTCCCGAACCTGGAGAGGAGCATCCCGCCGAGGCCCTTGCCGATGCTCGCGGCTCCTGCGGAAAAACAAGCGTCAGGGCGGCTCGGGGAAACCCCAAATGAAGGTCACTGCAGCACCCGCCGATTAGAGCCGAGCGAGGGACGAAGGAAAACACTATCCCCGCGTTGCCGGGGTGGGGGCACCGTATCCGACTTCAGTGAGTTCTCTTTTAATCATGAGACCAATGAAGAGAGGTTGTAATTTAGAAACGGTAGTTAGGGAAACAAAAATAAATGAGGGTGCTCTTGCATCACGAAATCTGGTACTTTAAAGCATACATGCTAATTAGCCTTCGAGTATTTATGAAATAAGGTAGAAATGTTTGAAAACAATGTTAGTACCTTCCGAATAAAAAAATCCTGTCAAGACACTTAGGACTCTTTCAGTAGGGTCCTTAGGTTGGCATAACTCTTACAGAGATGTAGAATTGCTCTACAACCCCTGGAAAGCACTAATTTAATTGCTTAGGAATAGAGGTGTAAAAGATCTGTGCTATTTTCTCCTGACTTTGCTGCCACCTCATGGACAACACATTAAAGTTATTAGAGTAACACGGACAAGCTGTGCAGGGTGAGAGCTTTGAAATATTGTGTATTTTCCCTTGAGGACTAAACCGGTTGTACAGATTTTAATTATGGGATTGGGAAGATTGCTGGCACCAGGTCACTACACGGGATTTGGAAGGCCTTCTTCCAAACCCCATGTAGAGACCTAAAAAAAGGCCTTGATTCAAGCTCCAGCAAAAGTTAATTTAAGGTCCCTTAAGCTAAAGCTTATTTTGAATCAGAGTATGAACAGGAACAAATTTCATATTAAAGCAGCCTGAATCCGCTCACAGAAAATTATGAGTTAAAGGGAACCGTCATACTTTATAGACTGATTTTTTCTCCTATTTTTCAGTACCAGAAAAGGTTGTCACAAAACAAGCATAAAAAAATAATTTCTAAAGTGAGAAACTATTACACTAGAGGATATTACAATATAAACTATTAACCAGGATATTATTTCAATAAAGAAGACAACAATACGGCAATGATGGCATAAACTCCCTGACCTACATCCTCTTTCCGCAAGCCTTAACTTCAGGCTTGGAAACTGTCTCCTTTCCAGAGCAGATATTAATTTGGTCTAAAATAACCAATATACCTACCATACAAGCACTAAAAAAAAAAAAAGGAATAGCTTATTTACTGTTGCATCCTAAGGACCAAAAAGAAGAACACTGATGGTCTCCAAGAAGCTTCTACATAAAAAATAAGGACATCAAGAACAACTACCTAATATACTGGCTTTGCCTATGTTTGTTATGGACTCCCCATAGTGGCGTCGAACCAGGACCGGGGACGTCGTTGGGCTCGGTACCGTCGAAGCAATTTCGCTGTCGGTAACTGAGGTAGCTTCTTTTGTGGGGTTGAGAAAACTTGGCTTCATGTGCTCGTAAGGTAGCGGGTTCGCAGTGTTGTACCAGTGGATCTGGACCGGCGAGATGTTGCTGTAGTGTTTCAGAATCAAAGGTTCTAGTCTGTAGGCCTGCAAGAGTGATTCGGAAAAGATAATCCTGAATATCCGTAATGACTGAAGAAAACCACATTCCCTCCCCAATACAGAGCGCTCTTCGACCTCAGATCCAAAATATCTGTAACAAGAATGAACGTAGAAAGCGACAGGACCATGGCACTATGTTCTATGATTCACGTTTATTTTTACAGATTAGAAGATATATTCTTGTGGTGTGCGTGCAAGCATTTGCACCATTTCCCTGCAACAATTTTACTACATAGTTAGCATCCCCAATACTGCCCTTAATAGATGCTTGTTACAAAGCACTGACATATCAGACCTTATACACAGCTAAACACACACTGCACGTCGAGCAGGCAATGAGGAGCTCGTTACGCAAACATTTCACTTGAGTTCTATGATTCACATTTATTTTTACAGATTAGAAGATATATTCTTGTGGTGTGCGTGCAAGCATTTGCACATTTCCCTGCAACAATTTTACTACGTAGTTAGCATCCCCAATACTACCCTTAATAGATGTTTGTTACAAAGCACTGAAATATCAGACCTTATACACAGCTAAACTCACACTGCACGTTGCAGCAGGCAGTGAGGAGCTGGTTATGCAAACGTTTCACTTGAATCTTCATTAAGCATTGTGCAAACTGTGAACTGGTAGAGCATTTATGTGTTTATTTAAAAAAAAAACACATGGTGTCTATTGATTCTTTTCTTTGTTTCATGAGATAGAAGAAAGAATTCTGTACTTTTTTATCTAGGGAAAAAGTAGAGTTACTACTTGTAAAATGGGCCAGCTGACTGCAATCTGATCAATCTCCCTGAGCTTCCAAGGAAAATTTGCCACGCATCCTATCTTGGCAGTAGCTGGAGCTGAACAAAACCTTGAGATGATTAGAACTAGCGTGTTTTCATAGAAGGCTAACGATCTTTGGACTCAAGCAGAGTTTAAAAATAAATATCCTCCTAATTACTATTCCATAATAAACATGAAATTTCCAAATCAAGGTTCCATCAAAGTTGCCAAGGCCCAACAGCCTGTGTCTGATAACAGCCAGGAACAGCTAATCATGCAAGAGTGCAAGGACAGGGCACAGCTACAACCAATACCTCCCTCCCAAGCACCACCTCACCCTGTAGCAATCTGCTATTCAGGACCCCCGGGGAAAACAACAGTGACTTTATTGTTCTGCAGCGCTTTCGAAACTGATTGTGAAGTTTTTTAACAGCATCTTTGGACAGAAGATGGTTTATAGAAGTCAGGAAGCTAAACAGAAGTTAGAACTCGACTGAGAAGGGTTATTTCATGAGAAGGGTCCCTGAGAAGGGTCTTTGCAAAAAAAAAATGCAGAGTAATCTTGAATGTCATACTTATTAATGTGAAAACAGAAACAAAATATGGGATATTTAAGGCACTGATTTGTAGAAACTGTTATTCTATAGCTATAAAATCCACAACATTCTAGAATAATCATTAACAAATCGTCATGTGCTGGAACATAAGTGTGCTGATCCGCATGCTCTGGTGACCACAGATATTATCACAGCTGATGTTTAAAAACACTCAAGGTAAAAGCTTGCAACTGCAATTAGAACTCACCACTGGATCTGTTGGATGAAAAATATTTAGTAAGCGGTTACAAATCGTTTTGGGCAGAATATGATCTTGACTACCGCTGTTTCCCGGACGGATGCCACGCAATGCCAAAAACACTGCTAACGGAGATCCCATACAGAAGAAATTCTCAACCTAAGGAAAGATTTCATCCATGTTAATAAGGAAGGAAATGACACTTTCTAACATTGATGGATTTCATTTCTTTCTCTCTGTTTCAATTGCGGGGTGTATTAGTGAGTCAAAACAGGGGAGACCGCTGTAACACACATGCTAGATAACATAACAGGTGAAGCTCACCACTTCGCTGTGAGAAGGAGTTACACATTGTGGAGCTACACACTTGGAACACTAAAAAAAAAAAAGTTGGATATTTGCACTGAAAAAGGTCTACTAACACTGGAAAGGTTGGAGTGACAAGAATTTGAAGGACACTAAAGAAACATGATAAGACTGGAAGTCTGCTTTGTCAGGAAATATAAATTTTTCCCTAGCCAAGTACTCCATAGCTCATTCTGGTGCACACACCATCAAGGAAGTAGAAATGCAAGCTACACTGAGTGTTAAAGACAACCTACAGAATATTTACAGTAGTCACGCACACACACAGGCTGGTGTTACGTACAACCTCTTGGGAACAACTGGTGTTAAGTGAGTACAACGGTGCTCGTCCAAAGTGCCACCACAAACATCAGCAATCAATAGCCTGAACAGGTACTCAGCAACTCTGCAGGCTACTCATGTTGTCCAAAACTGCCCTGACTTTGCTTAAAAAGGGCTGTCCCTCACGCCGAGGGGCAGGTCGAGTGAACCTGCAGCACCAGCACCAGCCACATGCATCAGTGGTAACGACTTCTGGTCACTACCAACCTGGGCCGGGATTCAACAGTGACCCCGAGGTGAATGGCTTCGTATCCCATTACCAATCCTCAGCCAATGTCTCCTAGAAACATCAAATGTAAAACTCTGTAGTCAAAGATATTTTCATAAGTCAAAGTTACTTTTTCACCTTTAGAATATTTTCTTATGCGATAAAATTAATTTTACCATTATCGGCACCTCGCTATAGCTTTCCCAAGAGCAGAGCCCACTTTGCAGGGCACGAGCAACTCTTGGTGCACTGCTACTTAACTGACAAGTGGAATTGCTGCATT